GAAACATATTACTGTGCATTTAACTAAACACTAATTCACTTTAAAGAGATTCATATATTTTACGCCAAAGGACCAACAGCATTAACAAACGCTTAACTTCTTAAGTACAGTCTTCTACTTTTTCACACACACATACACACATCTAGTACTTAGATATTTACTATTCATAAAGTAATATTTCACTTCTTTCATTAAAAAAAATCTCTCTTCCTGATATGGCGAATAGCAGTAAGATGAACCTTTTTAAAATGCATTTATTGTATTGCGTTGATGTGTTCATAAGAATTCTTTTTTAAAATCTTTTATAAAATAAGCCTATGGTTTTAAACTTTTTGTCATGTTTGCGGTAATACCTATATCAAAATATACCGATATCAATTGCCATTTTATAATTATATTTAATTGATTAATATAGACTGAAAGAATGTTGTAAGTTCTACAGCGTTAAGAACACCTGTTCTATTGTTACCTTGCATGAATTCATTTAGTTCGCGACTGTTATTTATTCATATTTAAGTTAGCATCTGTGAACGAAGGCAGGTGGTTCCATGGTGTAATGGTTAGCACGCTGGACTTTGAATCCAGTGATCCGAGTTCAAATCTCGGTGGAACCTTCTGCTTTGCTTTTCTCCTTGTTCTAATTTTATGTTTAAAATGTTTATAATTAAAAAAATTTCTAAAAAAAGTTTATCAAAAGTAATAACAAATGTTGGAAACATTTCAAGTTTATAAAGCTTTTTGATCCATTGAGAGATTCTCATTTGGAGGACTTGGTTTATTAAAATATTCCTGGATTTATCAGTATGCAGTTAAAGTATTAAGAAATTTATTGCGTGAATTGAATGTTTAATCATTATCTATATGTTTTCCATAAATTTCTTTTCACATCTACGTCTCGTGTTTTTAAAAAAATGAGTGTCTTCAATCTGTATCAATTCTTACACTTTTATTAGGTTGTGAATTCAGAAGCATCAACGTTTTGCTCAGAATTCATGTATTCCTTTGCTATAACTAAGCATTTCAGTGATTTCGATATATTCAGTGGTTTCACATAAACGTATTATCGTAGTTGTAGTCCTTTTTTGCATTTAACTAAACATGCAATTCACTTAAAAAAATAATCGTATAGGAGTATTTTGCCCCAATGAATTAATAGCATTATCTACGGCACGGGTGGTGAACCTTTCGGGATCACCGTGCCATTTTTACGAAAGAAGTGTTTAAAGAGATATGGACGTGCCGTCAAATAATTTTGACTTTTAATTATTGGGAAAATAAAACTAAGTACACACTAGCAACACAAAACTCTTATTTTCTACGGAAAAAATACCTTTTGTACTGTATAGTTATAAATGTTTTAGTTATACGTGTAATTTAAATTAAAGTAACATTAGTGTGACTTCTGTTGCAGATTGGATGACAAATGACTTATATTAGGACTGTAAGATGTTCTTTTTGAAGAATACATTCTGAATTGGAGTCATCTGCTAAACGGTCTCTAATTATTTTTGCTGTGGTTCACTTTTTTTGACAAGAGGGTTTGTGATTTGTTTCAAAATACTCTTACATGCGATGTTCTGCACACCCAGAATATAAAACACACCCCCTTTTGTCGCTTTTACTAAAAGGCCATGTTTCTCGGTCTACCAAAATTGAAATTCTCTGTTACACTTACTATCTTTCACTTTTGTTCTTCTGCTGAATGTTAAATAAGAGTTAAAAATCGTAAATATATCACAGATAAACTTTAAAATACAGTTGTTTCAATTAAATTGACTATGCTATGCGTACAGACTTTACATCATAAGCAATTGTAGTCTACAGTGTAAGTAAGGCAAGACAATAACAAACAAGTGTGCTCCCCGCCCGCCGTTCTGTGATAGATCATTCGCGTTTGTTCGTAATACTTCGTAGTAAACTTTGAAATTTTGAAATGAAATATAAACAATTTTGATCACTGGTATGCCAAAAATATTGTGTTGCATGCCATCAATGGCACGCGTGCCACTGGCTCGCCATCCCTGATTTACGGAATCTAAGAAAATTTCTGCGAGTATATGGGTTTCCACTTAATAGCATTATAAAACGTTTAGCTCAATAGTCTCTATCTACTTCTTCATACGTAGACTGTTCAATAAGTAATAACACTAATTTTACACTGCCTCGAAACCACTCATTGGAATGTGAATTTCTGTGACATAAGAAAAGTTTGCTGTTTGTATTAACAATAGCTTCCGATGGATTGCGTGTACAGATACTCATGTTCTTGAGTATCACGTGATCGGACTGAAGTGTGTTTGCGGGCGCCTACAATCGAAATGGAATCAAAACTCAGCATCAGATATGATACGATATGAAAGAAAGACTGGCTCAAGAAATCGACAATGTCTTAAAACGCTTCATCACAGCAGACGAAGCTTGGTTGCATCACTATGGCTCGACTATAAAACAACAAAGCGGTGAGTGGAAACACCCATCTTCACATACTCCCAAGAAAGCAAAACTGTGAAATCGGCTGGTAAAGTTATGACTATAATTTTTTGTTAATAATGAAGGAATTGTTTATCAACGCGCTGTCGAACCCGGTGCTAACGTAAATGGCTCGTACTACGCGAACATCCTACGAACAATGGTACAGCACGTTAAACGGAAACGGCCATTGCTCCGAAATGGCTTCATGTTGCACCATGACAATGTCCGATCCCATATTGCTCGTTGCGTACTGGATGTTTCACAGCAGAAAAAAAAACGTAGAGATTTTACCACACCCTCCGTACAGTCTTGCTCTCACTTCATTCGATTTCCGGCAGTTTCTTCAACGAAAGAAACCATTACGAGGCAAACGTTAAACAACAAAGTATGTCCAAAGGCTACGGAGGCAGTTTTGAAAAAAGTTCTCACAAAACGGATTTTTACATGTTTTTAAAAAGTGGACAGAACGTTGGGATAAACACATTACGTGCCATGGTAGTTATTTTGAAAAATACCATGTAAATGATAACGATCAAAGGTATTCTGGTTTTTTTTTAATAATTTAGTCTTATTACTTATCGAACAGCCCTCCTATAATATTTAAATATTTACTAACCTTAAATAATTTAACATATATATATTTCATTAAAAAGAAAGAAATTATCTCTTCATAGTATGGCGAATAACTGTAAGATGAATCTTCTTAAAATAAATTTTTGTATTGAGTTGATGTGTGGGATAATAGCTTTTCTCGCGCCATATCCCACAAAAATAATACTGTAACTGAGTTGTTGTGTTCATAATTCTTTTTGGAATATTTTATAAAATAAGCCAATGGTTTTAAACTTTTTGTCATATTTATGATAATGACTCTCTATCAAGATATCCACACACACACACACACACACAATTACCCTTTTATTATTATATTTAATTTATCAATATATACTGAAAGACGATGTTATAACTTCTACAGCGATATAAACACCTGTTCTCTGCTGTTACCTTGCATGATTTCTTTTAGCTCGGGGCTGTTATTTATTAATCAGAAAGTTAGAATCTGAGCGAAGGCAGGTGGTTCCATGGTGTAATGGTTAGCACGCTGGACTTTGAATCCAGTGATCCGAGTTCAAATCTCGGTGGAACCTCATTGGTTATTTTTATTCTAATTCATTTTCCCCCTTATTTACATGAAATTAATCTTCCAAATTTTTCATCACTAAATACTTGAATTACTTAATACCACGGATCATATTTCAGATATTTCTACACTCATTGCGAATTTCAGTACATACAATCGTTCTTATTGAGGATTGCAAACGTGCTTCGCGCGATCGAATTTGAAAGACTATCATTCTTTCTTTTCTTGCATTCCTAATATGAGTCTGATTCTTAAAAAAATTTGCAGTAAGGGATACATCTTCATTCAATTCGGAAAGTATTCCATAGATTTAGATACTTTATGAATGCATGATTTTACAGATTTAACCTGCAACCTTTGCAGTATTTAGTACTACCAGCAAAATACTAAATATTGCACTATGTTATATAAATGCAATTTTTTTTCCTTCGTCAAATTAATTTCACATTACCCAATGGGAAAGCTTTTAACCAAGTCAGATTTGGAGAAAGTATTATGGGCTCATTACGTGTTACTACAACAATACATGTTGCTTCATGTGCTACAATGGTTAGCGCAAAACACATTTTATGACTGTTATGATAAACAGTGATAAAAAAAGGGGGGTTTCGTATGTGTGTGGCACTTTTTATATTTATGAAAGGCATGCTTATGCGATTTCGAATCTAGCTAAAAATATTAAACAAAAACTTGCAAGGGACAAAAAAGTAACACTAAGGTTCCACCGAGATTTGAACTCGGATCACTGGATTCAAAGTCCAGCGTGCTAACCATTACACCATGGAACCACCTGCTGTTTGCTTCCACTGTTTTGTTTTTTGACTTATATCACTGAATAATAAATTTGCAAGTATGTATTCACATTTTTCTCACGCAATCTTATTACACAGTTATTGAATCTTTCAATGACACTCGTGTCTGTTTTTTTTTAGGTTTTTCCTCAGGAGGCCAACTGAATGTATTGGCCCAAATCAATCAAAAAAAATTTCAAAGATTTATAATCATTTTAGTTTATTTCGAGCTGTCAGAAAATTTTTGATTAAGAAAACTTTAGTTTTTCAATCTCATCTTGCATGCTTACAAATTACGTATGTTTATTATAATGAAAAAAAAACAATATGAAACAGTCCTTTTCTCAGTTACGTATGAAAATGAGATTTTAATTTTTTTCACACGTTTTACTTCGGAGAAAAATGTTTTAATAATCATATTCATGTACTGAACATTTGCAGAACATTCTAGAATAAATACAACGAGAACTGCTAAATATGTCTACATATTTTAATGTTATGCTTTCTCATAAGAAAACGTATGTCTCTATAATAGACATTACATTAAATTTATTTAAATGCATACAAAAATTGAAAAGAAGGAAGAAAAATGAATGAGGTTCCACCGAGATTTGAACTCGGATCATTGGATTCAAAGTCCAACGTACTAACCATTATTCCATGGAACCACATGTCTTTATACAGATTTTCATACAGCAGAACTGAGAATACACAGAGCTAATTCATGCAATCTTGTGTTGCACTCCTACATGAAAACAACATTACACCTCAGGGGTGATTTTGTACGTAAACACGGCAAGCCAACATGCGAGTTTTTATCTAGAGAAAGGAATACGAAGGCTTGCGGAAGAATGCAAACACCTGTAATATATTTTAGCATGACAGAATTAATTCAAACATTGCATATCTAAAAGAAACAGTGAAATCGGAGCAGGTGGTTCCATGGTGTAATGGTTAGCATGCTGGACTTTGAATCCAGTGATCCGAGTTCAAATCTCGGTGGAACCTGGTTTAATTTTTTCTTCCTTTTTTCAATTTTTGTATGTATTTGAATAAGCTTAAGAGGTGTTGGAAAGATAAAATGTTATTTTTTGACAATTTGAGATTTTTTCGTTTTCAAATTGTATAGATTTTAACCTATCTAAAAATATCTTACTTTAACCTCTAGGGTGAGATTAGAAGCCCTCAAAACCTCTTTTTAAATAATCGTTGAAACTAGGCTATGCCCATTTGAAAGGCGAAAAATGTAAGCAAAGTACTTCTTTTTGCTTAAAAGTTGAGCGTCTGATATAAACAAAAACAGGTATGTTTTATTGTTAATTGAACCTTTCATTTTTTTTTGATTTCCTAGCCGGTTAGAAGTCTCCCTTTATACATTAAAATCAATTTATCTCTAAATGTAAATCTTTATGTACCTTTTCTGAGAAACTACTGTTCATAGGAATGTAAATTTTTTATGGTATATTTATAATGGCTAATATATACTGAAATGAGCTTTTTATAAAAAAAACTCAAATTGATTTTTACAAACTTTTTATGTGAAAATTGGTCAAATTTCGCAATGTTTGATAAAATATTTTATAACTTATTAAAAACTTCAAAATTAGCTAAAAGCTCGTTGTAGTATAATGAGAAAAGTGTTCTTTAATTGTATGGGAAATTTCAAGCATGTACGTATAACAGATTTTGAGAAAAGGTACATCAAAAACATCCAATTTAACATTGTCAGTGTATAAAGAGAGTTTTCTAACTCCGCTTAATTTAATGGTTGCTATTCAGACATTCATATACAGTCAATCAAAAAAGTATTGGGACACATTACCAGTAAATAGATTTTTATCGTAATATTTTACTTAAACATATAAATGAAACAAAAAAAAGTAAATGTTATTTTAGTAAATACAAATAAAATAATTTGAATAAAACTCATACATTAATGCAATTATGGTTAAAATTAAAATAAAAGAAAATCGAGTTAAAAAACGTGCTCAAAAAAGTATTGCGACACCTCCCAATAAAATAAGAAAAACAATTCAAACTTGGAAATTAATATCTTGTTGGGCCCCACTTGCTTGATGTGACCTCTCGAGGTCTATTTGCATGGATTGGATCAGTGTTTTGCAAAACGATCTATCGATTTTGGTCCACTCTTCGACCAAATATTTTATTAAATCCTGCTTGTTCGAAATTTGGCGCTCATATACTTTTGCTGCAAATAATTCCACACGTGTTCAATGGGATTAAGGTCTCGACTTTGTGAAGGAGTTTTAATAACACTAGGACAGTGGTAGAAGACCCATAACTTGCAAATTTCTGCAGTATGTTTCGGATCATTATCTTGGTACAATTTACCAAGATAATGTCCTGAGATTCCCAGCCTGCTCACACTTTGCATTAAGTTTCGCTTGAGAATGTCAAGATATAGACATATTTATTCATTATACCATCAATAAAATGTAAGTTCCCGACACCAGAGCTTGCCATGCAGCCCCAGACAATTTGGTTATTCCCTCCATATTTCATAGTAGGCCATACATTTTTGACATGCACTGCTGTACTTGATTTCCAGCAAACTTTTTGCTTGCCCTCCGATCCGAAAACGTTACATTTGCTTGCATCTACAAAAATTAAAGTTTCCTAATATTATGTTGTCTGCCTTACATACATTTTAGAAAATGCCAACCTAGCTTGTCTATTTGCTTTTTTTGATGTAGGGCTTTCTTTTAGGTACTCTGCCATGATACTTATGCTTCCTTAAAACATTTCCAAGAGTTTCAGGATTTACTGATTTTCCGGACCTACTTTTACATTGCAAAGTCCTCTTGGATTAATGTGTACTTGTCTCACAATCCACCTCTCTTCACGTTCATTAAATATCCTTGGACACCCTAATCTTTGCCTGTTTTCAACACTGTTTTCTTGAACCTGTCAATGATGTTAAAAACAGTAGACTTTTACTCAATTTCAATATTTTTCCTATACAGTGAACTCTTCTTTCCAATGACTAACGATATATTTTTTTCGCACACCAACCGATATATCTTGGGGTTTCTCGCCTTTCTTTCTATAAATAATCTTATCTGTTGAAACATTTATGTTTAAACTTCTAGTCTAAGAAAAGTGTCGTGAAATTCTATTGATGCACTGTATATTTGTTAAATTTCTCATTTCAAAAGTGTCCCAATACTTTTTTGACTCCAATGTGCCTTTGAATTATATTTGAAAAGCTAGATCAAATTATAATTCTATAATACTAATAAAATTTTCCTTATATACTGTACACCAAATGTTAAAATACTTCTTAATTCATTTTGTTTTTATTTTAATGTGATCAATATTTTTTTTATAAATGACTTTAAAGTTATGCAGACCAAGTGTCCCAATACTTTTTTGAGTGACTGTATTTGTAAAAAAACATAACGTTAAACTATAATAACCAATTTAGCATATCTTGGTCCACTTTTTCGAAAGTGTTGTGCTTAGGTTGAAAATGCATGAATATGATTATCCAACCATTTTACTCCTAAGTAAAATGTGTGAAAATATTACAGTATGTAGTAAAATGGTTTAATGGCAGATACGTTGATCGTTGTATGGTATATGTATATTAGTTAAATTATGAAACTAAATTCATGTAAATTAAATTTGTATGTAAACTTAAATTTTTATATTTATTTTAAATAACCATACATGAAGACACCTATTAAAAAGACAAACAAGAGAAAAAAAATTATTATCAAGGTTCCACCGAGATTTGAACTCGGATCACTGGATTCAAAGTCCAGCATGCTAACCATTACACCATGGAACCACCTGCCTTTATACAGATTGTCTCGTTCTGACTATTGCAGGAATAAATAACAGCTGCGAACTCATTGGATGTATGCGAGCTAACAGCTCAGCAGGTGCTCATAACGTATAGATCACATTCTCTCTATATCTTTCAGTCATTGTTAATAAGGAAATTAAATAAAGAGCAGAAAAGATTAGAGTGGATAATTGTCATCTTGATTATTATTACTGTAAATATGGCAAAAGTTTGAAATCAGTTATTTATATTTTCGAATAGATTCATTAAAGAATACTTATGACATAAAATCAATATAGGGATTATATACAAAAAGATTTCTTTTCTTTGCTGTATGATACACTAAGGGTCGGCCACCCATGACACGTGTGCTACATGTGGCATGCTGTACAATTTTCAGTGGCACTCTGCACCACTCTACAAATTTGTCAGTTTTTGAGTGGATAGAAGTTGATAAATTTTTGTAAGAAACCTTACTTGATAAACAACTTTATAGTTATGGACACATTTACGGAATTACGAAAAAGTCTGAAAGACATTAAAGGTCCGAAGAATATTCTAAAGATAAATTTATAACTTCTTTGTAAATTATTGAATGTCATTGCTAGAGAGATTTAATTGTTTGAAATGAGAAAGTTACATGCGTTCTGTTTTCGGCTTTTGGTTCTACATCGTGTAAAAAATCTTTCATCAAAAGAAAAAATTTTACTGTCTGAAAAGAAATTGCTTAACAACAAAACTGAATGCTCAAAGTCGTGTGAAATTGAAAGTCACAAATTATTCCCCTGATTTTGCGACATGAAAGTAGAGAGATGCGAGCACTTGGTTCGCATTTAAATTTTTATTTATCTCTTCACTTAACTGTAATCATGGGAAACATTTATATTTTATGTTTATTTCTTATTCTAATAAATATGCTTAAAAAATGCATAATATATGTACAATTTTAATTTGTTTTTGTTGAAGAAATAGTTATATTTTATGCTTCTTTTTAAGTCAAGATTTTTAAATGATGCAACATTAATATATAATAAAACTGCAGATATTAATATTATTGACCTCTATTCCCTAACTTTGCAAGTATTATCGTGAGAATTGAATTATTTCAGACATGTTCTATGTGTGGCACGCTGAATCATATTAATAGTTTGGTTTGGCACGCCCCCCAGAGCTAAAAGGTTGCCGGCCCCTGTGATATACCATGAAAAAAGCTATTTTTATGAAAAAAAAGTAAAATTATTTTAAGATGAGCAAATATTTAAATACTGGATTAAATGAATAGGAATCTTTAATCAGTTAAACGTTTGGTGCGCTATTTGCCCTTTGGTTGCTACGTATAGTAAATGATTTTCTTCACAAATAAATTACTTATTTATATAAAGGTAAAAGGACTGCCGCAATTACCATAACATGTTTATCTGAAACTATTAAAAACATTGAAATTAGTGAAAAACACGTCAAGTTATAAACAAAAGAATACATGAATTCTTTCAGGTATACGTTGATGTGTTTGAATACAAAATCTAATCAATGTTTAAGAATAATTCATACGAATTTAATACACTTGTCTTCCAGAACCCAAGTTTAAAATGCTAATAGGAAGGCATCAAAAACAAATGCAAAACAGGATTAAACTATTCTTTTTTCCCAAAATCTGAAACTTAGGCGCAAAGAGAAATTAATGGAGAACATATAGACTGAGATATTAAACATTCACAAAATACACTATGAATCACTTAATACTGTAATTATGTAGTGTTGAATTGAGAAAAATACCTTCATTCCGATTTTAACTGAGTCATAAATAAACTGTCGATAAGTTATTTATTAACTTTGAACAATTACTCGTCTTTTTTTAAAAAAGGTCATATTCACTAATTTTCCCTCTTTCATCAAAAAATATTTCTCACTTTTTAATACAGCATACAATCAGAGAAAAAAAAATTTTTTCTTCAAAAAATATGCTGTCACTCTATCTTTATCTTTTTTATACTTATACAGTAGCATACTTTTGTTATGTGAGCATATATTTACATAAATTGCAAAAATGATACGTCATAAATTTTAAAATTATTTAATTTTTATTCACTCTTTCTGATATAAATTGTACTCGGAAAGTTTCTGAAGCTTATACATTGAGATTTTGCTGCGTTTTGAAGACTTGTTACCTTTCGCGAATAATTTAATTCACAGCGTGTTATATATTTGTATGAAAGTCAAAATAAGACAATTTTAGAGAAACTGGCGGTTCCATGGTTTAATGGTTAGAGCACGCTGGACTTTGAACCCAGTTATCCGAGTTCAAATCTCGGTGGAACCTGGTTCTCTTTTTTTTCAATTTTATCATACACTTAAATAAATTTAACTTAATATTTCGTGCAATTATGTATATATTTAAGAGAAAGAGAGCATAACATTTAACTACATCGACACATTTAGCAGATTATCACATTTATTCCAAATTGTTCTGCTATTATTGTTATAAACACACGCAATTTGGAAGTATACAGGATGGATGAAAAACGAGATAATCAAACAGCTGCACTAAAATTACTGCAGTTTACTTTCTAAAAATATTCTCTTAAAAACATTTCAAAGTAAATTCAAACGCTTATAAATCTTTGAAGCTTATTTGCTTCATTTGTATTTATACATTTCTTTGATCTGAGATTCTTGCACATAGTCTCTAGAAAAATAGTCCTAGTTGTTCCTTAACTATCGGTCCTCTTCACCCTTAAAATACAATAAACAGAGCATTTGTATTTGAACGAACGAGACGTTACAAGATTCAGCAACTGTGCAGTAAGATTGCGTGAGTCAAATTAAGTGAATACATGCATGAAAAATTGTTATTCAGTGATTTAAGTAGAAAAACGAAATAGTTGAAGCAAACAGCAGGTGGTTCCATGGTGTAATGGTTAGCATGCTGGACTTTGAATCCAGTGATCCGAGTTCAAATCTCGGTGGAACCTCGTTCGTTTTTTTTTCTTGTTTGAATTTTGATTATTACTAGAAAAAAATCAGGATAATAAAAGCAGGCGTAGGAAAGGAGATTTCAAATTGGTGAAGTTATTACTATCCATTGAAGGATTTTTTCCTTTGTATGATTTGATTCTTTTGCAAGCTTGTTACAGACCTAACAATTTTGGATCACCATCAAGAACAACATTTTAGCTCGAATTTAACACTCCAGATCTCCAAAATACTTTAAAGTACTTTGATACTCCGACAGACCAATAAACCGATTTCAACAGTACATGAATAACTATGAAAGAAACCGAAAATAAAAAAAAAATCTCGAATTACAATAAAAAATAGCAGAATTTTGAATGATACTGTCTGATGATGACGTCTCTAAATTTGAAACTTGTATTAGAACCCAGAATAAATAAAATCAACGAGCTTAATAAATAACTATTTATCAAAATCAGAGATTTTAACTTTTAAAAAAAATCATAAAAATATTCGCTAGGGCTAAGGAATTTAAAACAATATAAAGTTTTTCAAACTTAAATTATTCAGCAATAATTAAGAAACGCAATCTTTTAATTAATCAAATCAGCAAAATAATTCCCAAAATCAAAAATTTGATAATTTTTCCTCAATTTTTATGTTTGTATATATCTCTGTTTCTTTTAATTATAAACTTTTCAGAGAGAGAGAGAGAGAAAGCTGAGGGGAAAAAACTTAATTCAGGTTCCACCAAAATTTGAACTCGGATCACTGGATTGAAAGTCCAGCGTGCTAACCATTACACCATGGAACCAGCTGCTTATAAAACAACATTTCTAGATCCTCTAGAACTCAATTAATTCACTCGCATCATCTTTAGGAGTTCACGATGTCATAAAATATTTAATGTTCCATCAAAAAAGCCTTCTCGTGTTTAAGCAAAACAAATACATGTAATGGTTTGTTTTCATAAGAAAATCATATTCTCCTACTGTATATCCCATTTAAGTCTTTAAAATTTGAAATTAAAAATCATGTATTTATTGGCAAATAACCTAAAATAAATTATAAAAAAAGGGAAGAGAGTCACATATATATTTGTGTGTGTGTTTCTTTCACAATGACAGAAATTGACGAATAACTACATAAAGCAAATTTCAAAACAGTAGCTGTCAAGTTGTCGAGCGAATAAATGCACATATGTATATGCAAAAAGAGAAAAGGGGGGAAAGTCCCATAAAAAGGCCTTTTCCTAAAGACGCTTCTTAGATTGATTGTTTGGTTGAATATTAACGTCGCACTGTTCAGCTGCAGGAGGGCTTTTGTGGCGACGGACCACGTAATTTTGAACCATGGTCAAGTGATGTGGACGACACCTGAGCTGGCACCCCTTTCTCCTAACTACCGCACCACACCAACGGGAGGACGTTTCAGCTCTCGACAGATTTAACGTGCATCGCTACCCTACACGGCGAGTTCTTAGTGGTACTGGGCTCGAACTCGTGACAAGGCAAGCCACAATCCGATACCTATACCACTCGGCTACCGCGGCCACAAGACGCTTCATAGAACAGCTGTAATTGTTCTGTAAAAAAAGATACCTTAAATTCTTTTGTCCTTATTAAGGAAAATTTATAATGAATTTTTAAATATTTCTAAAAGAGCAATTTTTTTCAGAAAGCACACAAATGTAGAAGAGTCTTACAAACTCAATTTAAAATTGTAATAGAAGGATAAGTATTTTAAATATATTCGGAACCACACACACACATTTGAAAAATAAACAGTTAGTGTTTAATTTGAAATAAAGCTCATTTAAAAAACAAGGATCGCTAAATTTATCAATCCATATCTTTTTTTTTCAATTCTTATGTTTACATAGAGATAGAGTTTTTTTCGTCTATTAATGTGTTTTTCTGTTATCTTGGTGAATAAAGCAGCCCATCTCGGTATAGATCAGAAGATGCGGTGTCCCTTCATGTCCAGGAAAACATTTCATTTCAGTCTCTAAATTATTGCTTGACGTTGAACATAGATTTAAAGAAACATGCCAGTTCAGATGTCTCTTTTTGTCAGATTTAGTGGGAGAATTCAACATGTATGAATTTTTCGTTTAATATTAGCGTTTGCAAAACTCTCGACTATTCATGCACTTAAAAGGAAAATGCAAGGTCTTGGAGTTACGGACTTATTCAAATTTTGTAGGATGCTTGATTTAGTTTCCCTGTTGATTAAGATATATGGTTATAGGAGCCACTTCTCAATAATATTAAGAATTTTGTGTAAAATAGTGTAAATAATTTGTACTTGGATGTGTGATGCATTTATATTACACTATGTTATATTTATTTTATTGCCGTCTCTTACGTTGTAATGGTGATTCAATGGAGACTTGGCGAAATCTTGGCGATAGAGCCAAGTTGGCATTATTTTTGGCGACCATGTTGACGACCATGATCTATGATGTAAGCGGATCTTTCTGGAAGTATTCGCGAGGCGTATAAATAGGGAGATGCTCACCGAAACTGGGTCAGTATTGTCTTAACCAGCGATTTCTTCGCTTTTTGACCGAGAGAATAATTTTTTTACGTACTTGTATTTTAGACACTGATAGTTGAGTCTTCCGAGATTTATTGCTGTTGAATCCTGTTTTTCAAGGATCGATTTTCAACAGTAAATTCTCATCTATGTTAAAGAACTGTCTTGTTTTTTGCAACTGATTTGCATAAAATCTTCAAACGCCAATTAACATAACAATAGCTTCGATATTTGCAATTGAATATGCAATTCACTCGTTCTATTCAGTTCTGTAGCAAACGATGACATGTAATGGGTTTAGCGGGCTCAAGGTCGTGGAGGGAGATAACTTGTTTCTTTTTTATGTCTGTTTTTACATATAAAGAGTCATAAAGGAATTTATTGGAAAAGAAATGTTTTTAATGACTAAAAACATTATCATTCGTGTAAGTACAGAATAATATTTATAACAAAATAATAAGAGCATTTCGCAAGAAGTACACGAGAAAAGCCCTTTAACTGCTAGTTAATCGTGCCTGGAAACAATAAATAAAACATTTATCAGATTAACCGAATTAGTATACAAATATGACTAGCTTCTAGCCCTCATTGCCCGTCCAATGGTAAAACTTGTCGTAAAAGCAAATGAAACAATTCCAAAAAGCTTCTTGCACATCGAATTAGTACAGTATTGCCCATTACGTACAATCGCTAGCTGCAAAACTGAATTTAACGAGTGAATTGCATCTTCAATTGCAGATATCTAAAAAGTTATTGAGTAGCGACCCCTACAACCATATATCTTCATCAACAGGGAAACTAAATCTACTATCCTACAAAATTTTAACTAAATCAGGACCCCAAGACCTTGCACTCTCCTTGTATTATTCATCACATTTCACAGTTTAAATGAAACAATGTAATGTATTCTTAGTATAATGGTTAGCACATAAGACTTAGGTGATTCGAGTTCAAATTTCTTGAGAACCTAGTTGCTACTCCCTCCCCCCTTTCATCGATTTTAACATAGTTAACCTTATGTTGGTTGAACATTTATATAAAATATTGCTTATTTTACCAGAGAAAAATTTCTATTAAATGAAACGTTTGAGGTTGGGGCTTAGTTTGAGCCTAGTACCACTGAAGACCCGACGTGCAGAGTTCACGTTAAACATGTTGATGCTCACGCGACCTCCCATTGGTTTGTTGTGAAAATTAGAAGAGGTGATGCCAGGTCAAATGTCGCCCTCGTCACTTGACAAAAATGACGAGGTCCGTCACTAAAAGCCCTCGAGTAGCTGAACAATGCGACGTTAATATTTGCTCACACACTCACTTTGAGGTCGGCTAATTACGTTCTATGCTATCTTTACCTCAGCATAAGCAAATGCATTGTGACACATAAGGTCACAAAACATTTTTACATGGGGGAGTAGCACTTTTAAACAGTACAATCTCAAGATTACTATTCAAAAACACTAAGAATTCTTTATCTTAATGATTTCTAGGACACATGGCTCAAACATAGTCTCTTCATTTATATCTGTTATTAATGTAAAAAATACTTCATTCATTGAGTGCTTGAATTGCTTAAATAATTGTAATGTTTTAAGTGTACCTGTTCATTCAAAATTAGTGTGACCAATTTTAAAAACATATTACCATAAATGGTAAATTTTTATCTCTAGGAGTAAATTAGGGCTCCGAAATTGGATCCTCAAACCCGAAATGAAATTTTAAAGCTTTTGAAAGATGTTTGCTCAAATTCTGATATAAATAAAGCATTTAAAATCAGAAAAAACATTTTTCTAAAGGAGTACTATCTAAACTGCGAAAAAAAATAAAATTTGG